TGCAGGTTGAGGGAGGGAGGTGCTAACTCTATTCTGAGGACTCTTGAAGAAAGTTCTTAAGACATCCAATTACTAGGCCAGGCGTGGTGGCTCACGCCTGTAATCCCAGCACTTTGGGAGGCCGAGGCGAGCGGATCACGAGGTCAGGAGATCGAGATCATCCTGGCTAACATGGTGAAACCCTGTCTCACAAAAAAATTAGCCAGGTGTGGTGGCATGCACCTGTAGTCCCAGCTGCTCAGGAGGCTGAGGCAGGAGAAACACTTGAACCTAGGAGGTGGAGGTTGCAGTGAGCCGAGACCACGCCACTGCACTCCAGCCTGAGCAACAGAATGAGACTCCATCTCAAAAAAAAAAAAAAAAATCGAAGTACCCAAGACTAATTATCCACTGCTGAACTTCTTGTTCATTTGTGCACAAATGCTTGTGTGATACATATTGCATACCGTTTTTTAAAACAATCAATTGAGTTTGAACTTTCAGCTCCCAAGCTCCCATCAGGGGAACTCTCCTCCAGTCATTCTGAGGACTCGTTTGGGGCAGATAGTATTTTTCACAGATGGCTGCAACAATATCTCGTTTCTTGAAAATTCTTCTAGAATTTCGTTACCCCCTGGTTAAGAAAGAGACTATGTACCCTGCTCTTGAATCAGGTAAGCCTTGGTGACTGCTTCTACTAATAGGATGCAAAGGAAGTGATCCTAGGTGACTTCTAAGGCTAGGTCACAAAATGCCATGCACTTCTAAGTGGGTCTTTGTTTGTCCTAGAAAACCAGCAGCCTAATTATGAGGAAGCTCAAGTCCACAGCTCTGGCTGACCTCCCAGCTGGCAGCTAGTGCCAACTTGCTAGGTGTGTGAGTGCACCATCTTGAAAATGGATCTCTAACCTCCAATTGAACCAGTTGACATTGCGTAGAGCAGAGATAAGCCTTTGCTGCTGAGCCCACCCCAAACTGCAGATTTAGGGGCAAAGTAAATGAGTGGGATGGTTTGTTACACAACAGTAGGAAACAGATACCCCCACTCATTCTCTTTACCTTCCTCCACCAGAGTTGTGCAATAGTCTTGGGGCCTTAACCTAGGCCCAGACACCAACAGGGAACTGGCCCCCATGTTCTTGCCTACAACTTCTTTGAAGTCTCCTGCTCAGCTGTTCCTCTTCCACCTTTGGGGTGGGGGAATCTTCTGAGAGTCTGGGAATCCTATAGCCATACCTCTCTGAGGTCTTGCCATGCCACCATCTTCCCCACCTCCAAGTTGGCCATAGATATCTTCTCTCAAGGCTTTCTAGGGTGGTTCTTCTAAACCCTTTTCCCACCTCCAGAACTCCTGGCTCCATCTCTAGAATGGGCTAAAGAATTTCCAGAGGTGGAGTCTCTCACTAGAAGTGTCTGTGCTCTCTGCCTGGCAAAATGTCCAAGGTGAGTCATGACAAAGCCTGCCTTCTGCTGGAAGAGAGGAGATAGCGACAATGCTGAGGGAGCCAACCCCATGTGATATTTCAGTGAATGACTCTGCTATGGTTTGAATGTACTGGAAACTGAATCCCCATATTCATATGTTGATGGTATTTGGGGGTAGGGCCTTTGGGAGGATTAGATAAGGTCATCAGGATAGGGCCCTCATGATGAGGACTGGTGGCTTTATAATAGGAGGAAGAGAGACCTGAGGTGGCATGCTCTTGCCCTCTCACCATGTGATGAGGCAGTAAGAAGGCTTTCACCAGATGAAGCCTCTCAACCTTGGACTTCCCGGGCTCCAGAACTACATGAAATAAAATTCTTTTATCAATTACCCAGCCTATGGTATTGTATTATAGCAACAGAAAATGGACTAAGTTAGACTCAGATGCACATCTACTCAACAACTGTCCCTTAAGCTTCTGGACATGTGCTAGAAGCTGGGGAGACAAGGCCAAATGGCAGTGTCACCATAGACCTGGATAAGAGGGCACCTGTGGTCACCCAGAGCCCACACCTGACCTTGATCATGCTTTGGGTGTTTAAAAACCTAGACCGCCTAATCGGCCCAAGCTGGTTTTTTTGTTTTGTTTTGTTGAGACAAGGTCTTGCTCTGTTGCCCAGCTGGAGTGCAGTGGTGCAATCTCAGCTTGCTGCAACCTTCACCTCCCTGGCTCAAGCGATCCTCCCACCCCAGCCTCCTGAGTAACTGGGACCACAGGCGTCCGCCACCACGCCTAGCTAATTTTTGTAGTTTTTGTAGAGACAAGGTTTCATCCTGTTGCCCAGGCTGGTCTTGGCCCCTGAGCTCTTCAATCCTCCTGCCTCAGCCTCCCAAAGGGCTGGGATTTCAGGTGTGAGCCACTGTGCCCAGCCCCCCAGTCAGTTTAAGGTTTACAAAGCTGCCTGCCCAGGTCCATCCTCCTGAGGATACATCCTGTCCCTGGAGCGTGCACCCATAGAGAGGTAACGAAGAGGTGGCTCTAGGCAAGGTGTGCGGGCAGAGTTTGGGTATGTGGGCCGGAGTGTCCACATGCCTGAGTCCTAGGCCACTTGTGACATAGGACAGAGATGGGGTGGGAAAAGAAGTGCAGTGGGTGGGCTGAGGGCTAGGGCCAGGCTATCCTCCCGTACTGCCATGTTCTTGCATACAATTCTAAAGAGTCCAATAATTCTAAATTTGAACATGGTCTTCCTGGTCATTAGAAAGAACATTTGTCAAGGCAGGAAAATACACATTTTATTTCACAGTCTGTTAAATGTTTGGGTACAAGGTATCTGGTCCTTGATTTGTACTCTTGGGCTTTCCGTGTTTGGGTAGGTCAGCATAACAGGACCAGTGCCCCAGGCCCTGCACTCCTACAGGGAGACACTCTTCTGTGGGGCTCAGACAATGACAGGGAGTATGGCAGAGATTCCAGAAGCTGCCTGAAGACTGCTCTCAATGTCACCACAGCTGCCTCTATCTCTAACCAGGAGTGGCAGGGCAGCAAGGGATAGCAGATGGGACTAATATGAGGGAATGTCTTCATGGGAGAAGGGGACAGTGAGGGGATCCAGCTGTTTTGCCAATGGCCAGTCCCCATCTGTCGTGCTGGAGCCCTATTAACTTCAGCAGGCATGGTACCAGGTTCAAGAGGCTGAAGGAGAGACCAGAGCCAGCAACTGGGACATGGGGGTTTATTGGGAAGCTTACACACAGGAATGGCAGGTGGCAGTGGGCTGGAAAGGAGAACTGTACAGTCCCATGGCAGGCTGGGCAAGAGAGCCACAACCGCTTACAAAAAGGATACAGTTTATACATCATTCTCACTTAGCACCCTCGCCCTAACAACCTCCACCTGATAACTTTCATTTGGCCCCAAAGAACCTTGAACCCCTGTACAGCCTGCATTCCACAGGATGGGCCAGGGTTCAAATGTTCCTCACAGATAAGGAATGAATCTCCAGGTTGGTCACTCCCAAGTTCCTTAACTCAAAACTCCAAACACACATTTGGGTGCATCTGCCATACAGGACCATTCTCTGGGTATGCTTAAGTCAAGTTATCACTGTCAGGAGCATCTGTCATACACCATCACAAACACCCCCACCTCGGAGGGACGGGGTGTGGAGTAGGGTGGAATAGGAGGATATTTTATGCCCATTTTGCATGGGCTGGGTAGGGTAGGGAATCTGAAACCCAGCCCAAGACAGAATGGCACAGTGGTTCTCAGAGTGTGGTCCCCGGACCAGCATCCACATCACCTAGGAGCTTGTTAGGATCTGAACCACTAGCAGGATAGAGGGTGTCTCTCTGCAGGTAGGACACGCTGCTGGATTTAAAGGATTCCCCAGCCTCACTCCTCTGACTTGGTGTGGGAATTCTATGAAGGAGACTTTTTGCTGAAAAAGAGAACATTTTCTGTGCATGTACGGCATTCAGATGGTGGGCCAGATACTTCATGAATGCTGTCACATGTAATCTTCAACAGCCACCGTCAAGATCGGCATGATTGTTATGGCTCTTTTTATTATTATTCCCTGTTTAAGGGCTCATCCCAGAGAGGTTAAGTATCTTGCCTTGTCCTGGGGTTAAAAAGCAACCAGGAAGCTACCTAGGTCTGTGTGATTCTGAGACCACTCTAACTTCTTCACAATTTCTCAACAGTGATTCTTGCTTGAATGTGATTCAGAATCACCTGGAGGCCGTATTCAAACCAATTGTCCCACAGTTTTCCATTCAGTAGGTTGGGATGGGGCTTCAAAATCCACATTCCTAACAAGTTCCCAGATGATGTTGCTCCTGGTTCAAGGACCACGCTGTGAGAACTACACTGCTGGGCTGGGATCCAGCTCCCGCCCCTACTCCACCCAGACAAAGCGCTCATAATCATACCCTCCCACAATGGTGTGTTGTGAGATGCCAATGTGATAATGGAAGTGAAAGAGCTTCGTCAGCTGCCCAGATGAATGCCCCTGGTCATTAACCAGTTAATCTGCCTGAAGCTAGTCCCCCGGAGGCTAGGGGGGCGCAGAAGGCTGGGACACAGGGTGGGCACCGCGGCCATCTAGAGAATTCTTGCAGCCCACCTCAATTCTGGGTCACTTTTTTTTCAGGGAGAAAGCCAGCTTTGAGGGCTTAGGCCCGCAGTCCTTCCTGCCACTCTTCTCAACCCACACCTCCTCCCTCACCTCAGGCAGCTGCTGGGCACTGCCCCAGCACTGGCTGGCCTGGGCTACTTCCCCAGGGGCCAGTCCAGGCAAGCTGGGGCAGCTCAAGCCTGTGACTCAGGACCTGAGGCTGAATCCCGCTCACGCCCGCCTCCATGATATTCAGAGGCCGTGACTTCCCTTCTGTGAGCCTTAAACTGCACATTAGTAAAATAGGCGCAACCAGAGTACCCATGAGTTGTGGGAATTCAAGGACTAGAACTTTATACAGCGCTTGGCATAGAGCCTGGCCCCTGGCAAGGATTCAATCAATGGTAGTCAGTATTTTCAAAAAGTGCCTGGGCCCAGGCCGCCTCCTGATAGAGGCCCCGACTTGGAACACAAACCGCTCCCACGCCGTTCCCCGGCTGCACCCGGATACACCCGCCCTGGAATGCCAGCGTGGGGGCCCCAGGGCTACCCGCCTGGAGCTGAGAGGGGCAGGGCAGGCCAGGATTAGGAAGGCGCTGAGCCGGGGCTGGGGCGGGGAGGGGCGTAGCCTCACCCTACTAAGGCCGAGGGATGGGGTGGGCACGAAGGAGAAAGTGAAGGAGGCAGGGGCGCTGGGAGGGCCCGGGAGACCGGGAAGGACGAGGTAGGCGGGAGCTGGGCGGGACCGTTAGGCAGCGCCGTGAGTGGGCAGGGCTGGAGCGGCGCTGGCTTCATCCCCTGTGTTACCTGGGGGCAGGGCTGCCGGGATAGAAGAGAGAAGCCGTAGCGGGGCGGGGAGAGGGGCGGGGACTCAACTCCAGCAGGGCCCGGCGGCGGGGCTGGTCGGGGTAGGGCCATAGTGGGCGGGGCCTGGCCGGCGGGAGCGCACCGCCTTCTCAAAGGGCTCGGGGGCGGGGTCGGCGGAGGGGCGCCGAGGGGGCGTGTCCCGGGGGGGCGGGGCCTGCCGAGTCCGCGGCGTTCCCCGGCTGCAGCCGGGAGGGGGCCGAGGAGTGACTGAGCCCAGGGCTGCGCAGTCCGACACTGACTGGGGCACAAGCGGGCGACGCTGGGCCTGCAGCGCGGAGCAGAAAGCAGAACCAGCAGGTGAGCAAGGGGGCAGCAGGCCGGGGGAGCCTGCCCGACAACCAGAGGCAAAGTTAGTTTTGACCCCCGCTTCTGCGGCCCGTCTCGGACAGCTTTCCTCGGAACTAGTGACAGGTCGGGTTAGCTGGTGGGTGAAAAGGAGCTTTAGCCCCCAGTCCTGAACCCCCAGTTCTCACACTCGGGCTTGCACCAGCTGCGTGATCCTGGGTCCGTCCCTCCACCCGGCTCTGGACCTCCCAGGTTCCAGCAGGAGGAAGTGAACCAGATTAATTCTACGCTGCCGTTGCTCTTTCTCACTTAAAACGCCGGAAGGTGAGAGCTGGCAGGTGAGCGCAGGCTGCAGGTCGCCACAGGTGTTCCCATCGCATTGCCCTCTGCAGTTTCTCTCCCTGCAAAGTGGGACTAAGAGAAGCGAATTGCTTTAAAGAGTGCACTGGTTCCTCGGTTGGGGCTCGTAACCCATGAACTCTGGGGAACAGGAGGTCAAAGCAAGGAGGTTCCATTTCCTGCCTCACCTGCTTCCCACAATTTCTGACAGTTCAGCTGAGTCGGACCCCCTAAGACTTCAAGTTGGAAACGCAGTGGGGCTTTTCCAGGTGAGCTGGCCTGAGCAGGGGGTTGGAAACGGGAACAGTTCTTACACTGGTGACTGGGGAAGAGAAGAGAAAACGCCACCAATCCTTGCGCCCAGAGTCAAGCCCAGGGCCCCAGTGGCTCTTGCAGCATACCCAGGGTTAATTTCTTGGCTGACAGGTTCTGTTCCTGGTGGCCGTGGGTGCTCTGTGCTGGGCCCCAGTAGTGGGGCAGCCTAGTTCTGTGGTCAAGGGCCTGGGCTTTGGGATCAAACTGATTTGGATTCCATTCCCCCTCCAAACTTCAGTTTCCTCACCTGTAAAACAGGGATAATGGCAATATCCAATGGCAGGAGCAAGCACTAAATAGAATACTGTGTATACACTACTTAGCAAGGCGCCAGGAAACCAGTGAGACCTCCGTCCGTGACAGCTGCTTTGATGCGGATGGGCAGGTGATGGGCTTGCTTCCTATGTGGAATAAGCCTTTTTTTTTTTTTTGGAGAGATGGGGTTGGCTACAGCCCCTCCTGACCTTGTGAGAGCCAGAAATTGCCACCTGCCACCAACATCACTCTATTTAAGGGATGAGGACTGTGTCATCTGGAACAAAGAGTGGCTGAGTTTTCTGTAATGTTGCTTGAGGTTGGTGAGTGTTGAGTTAAATACGTCTAAAAATGTTTACTGAGCACCTACTATATGCTAGAGAGAGCTAGAGGTACAGAGGTGAACTAGCCAGACCTGACTTGCTGACAATGAGGGCTCCCCCATCCCTACCATGTCCCTGTAGAGAGGATCAGTCACACCCAGGGCTTATGACCAGATGAGATTTCATGGGTCTGTGCTGCCCTAGTGGCTGGAATCCAGCTATACCATTGCACACTTGGCTTGGGATGGAGGCGAGGGGCAATGTGGGCACCTGATATGTAAGCAGGGTTGGGCACCGAAGGACACTGAAGGTGCTGCATTATGTTGGCTCCCTGCATCTTCTGGGAGATAAGCTGTACAGTATGGAACAAACTGGAAAGTGCTGTGGGACAGAGATGGATTGGCGGCTGCGCTGTGTGCAGGAGACCGTGTGTGTATGTAGGGCAGGGGGAGGTGTTCAGAAGAGTGAGACACTTGAGAAGCCAGGGCAGGGGGTGGGGGTAAGGAGGCTTCCTGGAGGGGGTGAGACTTGAATAGGACTTTCTGCCTGGGCTCCTGGTCCTGGTTTGGCTTGGATCAACATGGGACCACAGTCTCTCCAAGCGCTGAAGTGGCATAAACTGGAGTTTGGTATGGTGGGGAGGGAGAGGGTCTGGTAGGTGGTGCCTGAGGTGGGGAGGAGGAGACGTTCATTTCAACAGAGCCTACCTAGTGAGCCTTAAAAGAAAGCCCTCGCCATCACCACCTCCCCTTCCCACTGGATGAATGACAAGCAACCACATAAGGCTTGCACTCTCAGGTTGCTTACCGTCCAGGAAGGGGCTTACACAAGAATACCAGTGACTCTGATGCAAGATAAATGAAAAAAGGATTAGAGGGATCTTCAGAGCCTTACAGACTGGGAAGATTTCGGCACCCAGAATGAAGATGGTGTCTTGGGGAGAGGAAAATGCCTAGGCAGAGGCAGGGAGGTCAACCTGTCCTGAGAAGTCTCAAGAAACTGCTAGGTTGCTCATTCTGGCTGAAGTTTGGGACTGTGCGGGGATACACAGTGGGACCAGTAGGTGGAATCAGCTTACAGAGGGCCTTGAATGCCAGGGTAAGAACTTTGGATCTGATTTGCAGAAAGTGGGAGCCACTGAAGGTTTCTGAGGAGAGGAGTGACACAACAGAGCAGCACTTTAGGAAAGTCAGTCTGTGCCAGATGTGCTGGGGTGGAGGATCCAGCAGTCAAGGAATAATGAACCAGTGGCTGCAGTGACAGGGAAGAAGGGGTCTGGGTGGCTTTGGGGATGTCTGCAATGGGGAGTGAAGGAAGAGACACCAGCCATGGGGATAGCGAAGGCGCCACTGGAGGGGTGGAAGGGGACTGTTCCAGCACCTTTGCACTTCTTTCTCCTCCCCATCCTGTCTGGTACATACCAGGGGCTCAGGAAGGTGGCTGGATTGGGTGAGTGGTGGGGGCACTGGGAGGGTGATGAATGCTACGGGGGTGGGGGTTGCCCATGAAGGGGAGGCATCTGGGCCAAAAAGTGGGAGCCTGTGCCAGCCAGCAGTAAGTTTGGGAGTGGGGGGCGGGGTGGTTGGAAGAAGTGCCTGCTGGTCCCTCCTTCCCATCCCAGCCCAGGGAGGGTAGGGGTGAGAGGTCACCATGTGCTATCTCTGGCAGTGGGTGAGCAGTCAAGGTACAAGTTTCCCACAGTAGGGGGACTGGGGCAGGATTTTGGCTTCCCTGGGCTCCTCTGAAGTTTCTGCTATGTGGGGGCGGCCCCCTCTGTCTTGAGGCCTCACACTTTAGAGTCACAGCCTGGAATCTCCCATCACCTATCCCCTTCTACCCTGGGGTTCCCCCAAGGACCAGACAGTTCCCACTCGACCCATAGCTGAGCAGCCCCAAGTCCTGAGTGTTCTTTTGGATTTGGAGCATCTGGGGCCAGCTGGCACCCCTGCTTCTGGTTTGGCCTTGGCCTTCTGCTCCAAACCGTTATACCCACTTCCTCCGCCCCACGGGAAGCTCACGGGGGGCGGTTATGACTTAATCAAGAAGATCAAACGGCCAGAAGCTGGCTCTGTGAGAGGTGGGAAGGGAGGGAAGAGCCTGGACTGTTTGGCCTGGGCCTCTCCGTGGGACAGGACCCGTTTAATCTTAGCAGGAACTGCCCTACCCACCCGCTTCCCCTCCACTAAGCCGGGGTCTGAGGAGCTGGGAGGGGAAGCCCAGAGGTAAACATGGAGCGAGTGGTGTGGGACGTGTTGCTCCCCTCGCCCCTGACGCTGCCCTGAGAAGAGGCAGACAACCACAGACCTGGGGCCTCTGCAACAGGCCCAGCTGCTGTCTCTCGGAGGCTGGCTGGCTCCTGACTCACCCCCGGGCTTCCCCTCCACTGTGGTTTTCCTGTCAGCAGCTGATTCACTGTGCTGACAAGGAGAGGCAGCTGATAGAGGAAAGAGACCCATGTTCTGGTCCTTGGAGTTGGCTCCTGCTCTGCTGTTTGTGTGTTGTGTGACTTTAGATAAGTTCCGTCTCCTCTCTGGGATTCCTTCCCTGACTTGCGGATGCCCCATTCTTTCCTTGGCTCCCAGGGAGTTCTGGGACCTGGGATCTATCCTTTGCAAAATAGGGCGTATCTGTGAACACCCACCCATACTCAGGCGTGCACACACACACACACACACACACACACAACCCCAACACAGTGGAGCTGGGCAGCTCCCCTCAGACAGAGCACTTGATCCTGCCTCCCTGTTCTTACCTTGTTTCCCCCACCTGAAGCACCTTTATCTACCTTCTGCCTGTTCACAGATTAGAGAGATGATGGTACGGCATGGCAGTAAAGCACTGGACTTTAGAGTTGAGATCTCGGCCCTGCCAATTTCTAGCTATGCAACCCTTTCTGAGCCTCAGTTTTTGAACCTGCAAATGGGGATAATGATGGTCATGGCTTCATAGGGCATGAGCAGAGGACAAAAAAGTACACATGAAACGCTTAGAATTGTTATCCCTAGCACATAGTAAATGCTCGATAAAGGAGAGCCGTTGTTGTTTGCTGCATCTAGTTGGTCTTTCAAGGCTGGTGCCAGGCTCCGTCTCAGGCCCCCAGGGACATTCCCAGAACACCTTCCTTCTGCACAGGGCCTCTGCGCCTCTCCAATACGTGTGTGCCCCAAGACGGCGGTCATGTCTGGCTATGTGGGGTTCTCTGGCTCTTCCTGGGGGCGGCTGGGTCTCCTCACTGTGACGCTCAGCTTCCTGAGGGGCAGTAGGTCTGAACATCGCTGGCTGCTTTTCCCAAGCCCCTCCTTGCCCTTCACCTTCTCCTCTGTGCTTGTTTACACTGTCGCTTTGTGGTGTGTGACGTGTTTCCACGAGCTCTCCTGGACAGGCACTGCCCTGTCCTGTCTGTATCTCTGATTCCTGGCACACAGCAGGCACTTGGGGATCGATGACTGAATGAATAGGTAAGTGGTTCTCTTGGGTGGGGTCGGGGGTATCAGCAGGACCCAGCTTGGTGCCAGATACCAGGTGACTCCTTGGCAAAGGCAGAGCCAGGAAGCAGGACCTGGATGCCGCTGCCCGGCGCTTCAGGTCCGCGGGCCCCATTTCTGCAACCTGGATCCAGGGAGATGGGAACGCGCCGTCTGTCCTGGGATTGCTTTCGGCAGAGCTTCTGCTTCTCTTCTGATGCCTGGCCTTTACCCTCCTGAGAGGGGAGCAGCATGACTTCCTTCAGCCCCAACCCAGTGAGGGGCCACTCTGGCCTTTAGTGAACTCTGACTCAGCCAGAAAGAGCATTTTGGAGTCAACAGTTGTTTGTAGAAGGTGCTGCTATCCTGTGGGGACTCAAGCTGGGGCCTGGAGAAATGGGATGGTGGCCTCCAGGAAGCCCATCCTGGACATCATCCATGCAGACCCCCAGGTGGGCAGCTCTGGGAAGCCCTACTCTCCCCTCTGGCCTCCTACCCTGCAGGGGAGGCTTTTGCCCCTTCTCTCTCCCCCTTGACTTTCCCTGCCTTGTGGACGGGTGATCTGGTGTGGGAGCTGTTCAGAGTTCTGGGCCTTGGATCTCAGGGTCAATGTATAGAAGTGAACAATGCCCTGAGGGCTGGGCATTAGGAAGCCCGGGTTCAAATCCTGGCTCTGCCATGGAACTGCAGCGTGACCTTTGCCAAAAGAGGTGACTTCTAGGCTGGTTTTCTTCCTTTTAGGCAGCAAGTGCTCCAGAAGCCTTCCTGAGTCCCAGCTGGGCTTGGGCCCAGGGGAGTGGGGAAGAAAGCCTAGGCAAGATCACAGACTCTGGAATCAAACTGCCTAAGGATGATTCCTGCCTCTGCTACTTACCAGCTGGGCGTGACTTTGTGTCTTACCCCTCTGTGCATCAGTTTCAGCATCTATAAAATGGAGACAACAATAGTACTCATCTCATAGGGTTGTTTGAGAGTGATATACGAGCTAATGCACATGAAGCATTTAAAACAGTGCCTGACACATAGTTAGCGCTATGTACGTTCCTGCTGTTTTTGGTAGTGTTTATTTTTATTTATTTTTTTTGAGACAGAGTCTCACTGTATTGCTCAGGCTGGAGTGCAGTGGTGCAATCTTGGCTTACTGCAACTTCCACCTCCTGGGTTCAAGTGACTCTCGTGTCTCAGCCTCCTGAGTAGCTGGAATTACAGGCATGCACCACCACGCCAGGCTAATTTTTGTATTTTTAGTAGAGATAGGATTTCACCATGTTGGTCAGGCTGGTCTCAAACTCCCGGCCTCAAGTGATCCTCCAGCCTTGGCCTCCCAAAGGAATTACAGGCATGAGCTACTGTGCTCGGTGTTTTTGGTAGTGCTATTAATAGGAAGCAGGTTGTAAGTCTTTGAAGAGCTTGAGTCTGGAGATCAGGGGACCTGGGCTCTGTTCCCAGCTCATCTTTTACTTGCTGTGTTACCTTGGGTAAGTTATAGCCCTTCTTGGGCTACAAAACTATATTATCTTGCATTTGCTGCACTTGGATTTTGTAAGTGAGGCACAATGTGATGCCACAGTGGACGGCTGCAGGGTTTTATTCAGGGGAAGGACTCCTGGGGGCCTGGCTTATTCTCCTGCAGCCTAGGAAGGAAGGAAGGCTGTAGGTGGGCAGGTCCCAGCTGCTGCCCTAAACCATTGCAGAGACTGAATGGCAGAGCTGCTCCCTTACAACTCTACTCAATCAGGCCAAAATGTAGACAACTACATGTAATGTACCCGTTATGAAATGCAATTATATAGATTAGATTATAGACCTTTATTATCTTTTTACTTTCCCCTATTTTCCAAATCTACAGTGAGCCCATATTTTTTTATGCTCAAGAAAAAAAGAACCCATTCCTACAATGAAGCTATAAAAAACATACCATACATATTTGAACAAAAAATGTATTATACGAACTTGGGATTACATTGAAGTTCTTTTTGTGAATAAATCATATTTTTTCGAAGGAGGGATGGGATGTTGATTTGAAGTGAATATCAATTTGTCAAGCCTCAGAAGACTTGGAGGGAGTGCCTGTGGTCGTGTCTGTGGCCCTCGACCACCCAGGCTGGGAGACAAGAGTTAGAGGAGTGTAATAGAATAGAAGTGTAATCTGCCTTCCCCTGCGGTGGACACGCCCTGAGTGTTGGGTGGTGTTTAGAAAGCTTTTGAACAGTAGTTGAGATCAAGTGCCTTCATGACCATTCTGAGTCTCAGTTTCCTCATCTGTGAAATAGGGATGGGTTACTGTGAGGGTTAAATGAGCTAAACACACATTGAAGACAGAGCCCCAAATGGAAGCTGACGAAAGAACGTGGCTTTAGATCTGGGGCCCAGAGGGCTTGCTGACTGGCCTGTCCTGGACCTGGCAGAGTTACCCGTCCCGCCACAGGAAGTGCTGGACAGGAACCAGCCTCCTGCAGGACCAGGCAGCAGGAGCAGACAACAGCCCAGACAGAACTCTCCCTGCGGGCAACTTGGCTCTTCGAGGGGCAGGGCCCCACTGAGCCTGCCCTATGTGTCTCTAAGACGAGCCAATCATAAGCCGCCTGGGGCGTGGCGTGAAGCCAGAGGGCGGTGGGGGGGTAGGGGGTGGGGGCTGGCAGCGGAGCAAGGCCTGAGGTGTTTCCCTGACAGAGGTCCCTCCATTGGGAAACAAATGGAGAGGGGAGTCTGTGTTCCCACGTGTACACATAAACCATTTTGAATGATACCTGGTATGAAGTAAACACTCAATAAATGTTTGTTGTTGCTGGTAATAATAACAATTGGTAAATTCTACTAGTACAGTTGGAAAACCATCTCCCACTCACTGTCTTAAAAAGTGGAATATTAGAATGCTTTTGCAATGGGACCTATGAGACATCATCGTATATAGAGGAAATAGAAACCGGCAGGGGAGGTTTGATTTATCTGAGGTCATGGAGCAAGTGAGTGTCTAGGCCTTGAGTCACCTTTGGACATGTAGGTAGCCCACCTCCCTGACCCCTGGCCTTTCTGAACACACAGCAGTGGGGTAACTGAGGCAGGGAGGATGTGTCCTCTACTCTGAACTAGTCACTTGTTTTCCATCTGAAAGCCCCTCTTATCCGCTTTCTCTGCCCCACACCCTCTCCTGGCAGGGTTGAGCAAGTCTCTTTGTTTGCCAGGAGATGGTATAGCATGGCATTATGGTTCTCAAAATTTGTGCATATAGGAATCCCTAACGATCCCTGCAAGTTGCAGTCAGGGAACCACTGGGGCTGTGCCTACAGCTTGGGGTTCTTCTAGCTTCTCAGGCATTGGTGTCAGCCAGACCAAGCTATGGGCACAGTATCTGCTCACCTCTGGGCAAGTTTCTTGGCCTCTCAGAGCCTTGGTTTTTATGAGGATTAAATAAGATAATGCTGGTAAAATGCTTCGTGGCAGACCCAGGGAAGAGTGCACCCTCAATGAAACCAGAGGATAAGGGTGGTGATGATGAACAAAGGCTGTTCCTGTCATTACTTCGGGGGAAATGACAGGGAGTCTTCCTCTCTGAAGGCTGAGGTCCCCAGTCTGGAGTGAAGGAGCTTTCCAGGGTTGTGTGGAGCTCTGGTGGGGGGTCAGCAGAGGCCTTAGGTCTCTGCAGTCTTGGTACCCAGACTATCTGAGCCCAGCCTTGACCCGGGTGCTCTTGGCATAGAGTTGAGGGCAAAATTGAGGGCTTATGTCTAGAGTCACAGGGTCTTGGTGGTGTGAGCAGCTCTGTGCTCCATGCAGTCAACCTGCCTGCCTAGTCTGATCCCATGGACCACATCCAGCGTTTGCTCACGCACCTCAAGTCTTGGAGAGCTCATGATTTTTTATTTCTGGAAAGAACTGACTCTTAGAAAATAGGGGATGGTATCTGAGCAAACCCACCCACCCTTGGCTTCCCCATGTTGATCCTGATCTTGCTTGTTGGAATTACACACAATGTGGAAACTCCCTGGTGGAACCAAATCTTGTAGCAGAAGACCCCAGGCCAGCGATTCTGACATAGGAAGGAGATATTTTCTTTCAAAAACTTTATCTAAACCAAATGGCTACCCCAAGAAACCCCCCAAACTTTCTGAAACCCCCCAAACTTTCTGATTATTGAAGAAAGAGGGTTTTTTTTTTTGTGGAAAAATTCAGGCGGTAAAGAACAGACCTGCAGGAGGAAATAATTGCTCAGAGATAACTGCTGTGAACAGTTTGGTGTTTTGGCCTTAAAAAAAAGCACACACATACAAGATTGGGATTGTACCACACAAACCACTTCCTGCACTGCCACTTTTGACTGAACGCTGTATAGGGAGGGTTTTCCCATGTGATTGAGCATTATCCAGCAAGTTTCCCAGCTCCGTAGTATTGCACCATAGGAATCTGCTGTGACCTGGTTAAGCATTCCCCAGCCGTTGCACATTTAGGCCCTTTGAATTTTTCATTAGTATTCCCCTTGCTATAATGATCGCCTTGTCCCTATGTATATTTTGTACTCAACTCTAATGAGCTCCATGGAATGAATTCCTAGAAGTGGCTTTCCAAGTCAGATGGTTTTTAAACTCAAGGCCAGAGGACCAGAATCTCCCACCCTAACCAGTCTCCCAATTTCGCTTCAGCCCTACTGGTGGGGGAGCGTTCTCTCTGTCCCTGGTTCTAGTTGGCCTACCCACAGGAGGAGGAGGAGCAGGCTTTTAGGGTATGTGTATCTGTGAAAGAGAAGGAGATGGAGAAAGGCAGATAGATATAGGGGAGTGTTTTCTCTTCAATTACAGTCTGACTTTTGACCCTCTCCTCTCTGGGAGCCTGTGGTGTCATTAACTAATCATGGACTCTCTTTACTATTTAATGACCTCTCCCCGCAGTGACTCCTTCCTCCCCAACAGTCTCCTGGAAAGGAGGAGGTGGGAAGATGAGTCAGTGGGGGAAAGTTTCTCCAGAGTGGGTGGTGGATGTTGCGGTAGTTCTCAAACTCTGACATGCATCAGTCCCTTGGACAGCTTGTGAAAGCACAGATTGCTTGGCCCCACCCCCAGGTTTCTGATTCTGTGGGTCTGGGGTACCACCTGAGAATGTGCATTGCTAACATGTTCCCAGGGAACACTGCAGCTGCTG